TATTGGTCCAGTACTGAGGATTTTTGTTTTCTTTACATTAAGGGGCAACCCATATTAAAGACTGTGATCTTTGATGCTCATCAGTATTTCAAGTCTTCTTCGCTTTCAGCAAGCAAAGTTGTATCATTTGCCTATTGCAGGGTTGTTAATAAGTTTTCCTCCAATCCTGATGTTATGTTCTTCTTCATATAATCCAGCTTCAGATTACTTGCTCAGCATACAGACTGAGTACATGTGGTGAAAGAATACACCATTCCTGATTTTAAACCATTCAGTGTTCCCTTGTTCTATTCAAACGACTGCCTCTTGGTCTATGGACAGGCTCCTTGTGAACACAATTAAGTTCTCTGTAATATTCATTCTCTACAATGTTACCCACAGCTTCTCAAGATCCACACAATAGGAAGATTTGCGTAGTAAATAAAGCACAGGTAAACATCTTTCTGGTATTCTCTGCTTTCAGCCAAAATCCATCTGATGTCAGCAGTGATACAACCTCATTCACTTGTCTGAATCCAGCTTGAACCTCAGGCAGTTTCTTGTCAATGTACAGTTGCAGTCAGTTTCAAATTATCTTTAACAAAATTTTACTTAGATGAGCTAGTACTGATACTGATTGATGATTTCACATTCCGTTGGGTCACCTTTCTTTGGAATGGGCACAAATATGGATCTTTTCCAATCAGTTGACCAGGTAGCTGTCTTCCAAATTTCTTGGCATAGATGAATGAGTGCCACACAATGTCACATCAGTTTGTTAAAAGATTTCAATTTGTATGCCATCAATTTCTGGAACCTTGTTCTTTGCCCATGTCTTCAATGCACCTTGGACTTGTGCCTTCAGTCATTGGTTCTTGATCACATGCTACCTCTTGAAAGTTTGAACTTCACCTATTTCTTTTTGGTAGAGTGACTGTGTGTGCTTTCCTTCCATCTTCTTTTGATGCTTTCTGCTTCATTCTATATATTTTACACATAAGAGTCCTACAGTATTTAAAATTGAGGCTTGTAGTTTTTCTTATATTCTTTAAGCTTCAGATATGCTGAGCATGTTCTTCGCATTTTTTTTCCCCTAACTCCAGGTTTTTGCACATTTAATTATAATATTTGACTTGGTCTTCTTGAGTTTCCATTTGCTTCAGCATCTCTAAGCTGCAGAGCAAGTTTCAAAGTCTCTCCTGACATCCATTTTGGTCTTTTCCTTCTTTTTTGTTTGCTTACTGACCTTTTGGAGTCCTGGTGCGGCACTGTGGGTTAATACACTACACTGCAAAGCCGTCTGAACTGCAAGGGTGGCAGTTCAAGCTCACCAATCTCTCCTCAGAAACCCTATACAGGGTCGCTATGGGTTGGAATCGACATGACGGCACAAAACAACAAAACAACAACTGACCTTTTTGAGTCCTGACGTGCTGTGTGTTAATGGGCTGGACTGCAAAGTTGGTTTGATCCGCAAGTTCCGCAGTTCAAGCTCACCAGTTGCTCCTTGGAAACCTTGTACAGAGTCAGAACCAACTCGACGGCACTTAACAATAAGTGACCTTTTGCTTTCTTTCTGTGTGATATTCTTCATGTCATCCCATAATTCGTATCTAATGCAGCAAATATGTTCTGGAGATGATCTCTAAATTCAGGCGGGGCATGTTCAAAGTCATATTTTGGCTTTCATGGTCTATGGACAGACTCCTTGTGAACACAATTAAGTTCTCCGTAATATTCAAAGTCATGTTTTGGCTTTCATGGACTTGTTTAAATTTTCTTTTGCTTCAGCCTGAACATGCACAAGAGTAATGATGATGGTCTGTTCGACAGTCTGTCCTTGGTCTTGTTTTGGCTAATGATATGGCGCTTTTCTACCGTCTCTTTCCACAGCTGTAGGAAATTTTATTTCTGTGTATCCCATCTAGTGAGGTCCATGTATATAATCATCTTTTATGTTGTGTAAAGAAAGTATCAATTTCTTGCATAATTCTACACGTGATCTCCAGCATAGTTTCTATCACCAAGGCCGTATCTTCCAAATACTTATCCTTAATCTTTGTTTCCAACTTTTGCATTCCAATCGCCAGTAATGATCAATAAATACATTTTGATTGCATGTTTGATCAATTTCAGAATCAAGAAGTTGGTAGAATTTTTCAATCTCATCATCACTGGATTTAGTGAGTAGTTGGTGCGTAGACTTGAGTAATAGTTGCTTTGTACTTCAAGACAGATGTTGAATTTTCTTTTTGATGATGAATGCGACACCATTCCTGTTCAAGATGTCATTTCTGGCATGGTAAACCATGTGACTGTCAGATTCAAATTGGCCAATGCTAGTCCATTATTTCAGCTCACTACTGTTTAGGATACCGATCTCTGTGTGTTTCATTTAATTTTTGACAATTACCAATTTTTCTATTTTCACACTTTACACATTCCATGCGAGCATGAGAGGATGTTTATAGCTGTTTCTTATTTTGACTTGTGTCCCATCATCAAACAAAGGTCCTGAAAGCTTTACTCCATTTGCGTTATCCCAGTCAACTCTATTATGAGGAGGTAGCTCTTCCCCAGTTCTATTTTGAGTGCCTTTTTACCTGAGGGGTGCATCTCTTGGCATTGTATCTGACGATATCCTGGTGCTATCTGACAGTGTTACACTACTATTCAGAAGGTTTTCAGTGACTAAATATTTGGAAGTATTCTGTCTCTCCTTGTTCCTAGCATATCTTAGCAGGAAGCTCAGCTGAAACTTGTTCACCATGTGTGATCTTCCTGGTATTTAAAGTATTGGTGGCATAGTTTCCAGAATCACAATTAACACGCAAGCCACTGCAGTACAACAAACTTATAGACAAGTCAAAGGAGAGCGTAATCAACATAGCTTTTAGTGAACAGAGTTCCCAAAAAAGAGAGTGAAGTATGGCATGTATTTATGTAGTAAAATAATTCATTCCAGACAAATAATACATGCATAGGTAACCATTTAGAATGGCAGAAAAAGGAGAGAGTACAATTACAAATTATGTTCTACTGAATACTTCCTGCATAAAACTTTCCCCCTATTAAAAATAATTTCCTTAGGATGGATCTCCAGAAGCTTAATAACTGAGACAAAACATTTGATCTTGAATTTACGCTTGTTAAGTAGTTAAACTGCTTTCTCTAAGAATCACAATGTCTTGCCATACCACCAGGAATTATTTTCTTTTTCTACTCTCTAGCATTCCATTATAAAGCCCTGCTAATTTAATAATTCAGTTTCAAAATCTTAAACTTGTAATTCTTTTAATGAGGTGTTTTTTTTTATGCCTATGCTACTATATCTGTTCTTTAACACTTGACATTCATATTCTTTATTTTTAATAAGATATAAATTCATTAATTTAATTTTTTAAAAACTGTATTGAGTGTTCTTTGAAGTTTCCTGGTGAATCTTGTAAGTTTTAAATTTTCATATAAATATTTGATTTCTTTGTGATTCAAATGTTTCTCTTTTCTCCAGATAACTGACATTCAAACCTTTATTCTTCTGGTTTTTCTATTGTTGGATTTAAATAAATATTTAACTCAATCCACAGGGAACAGTTTATATGAGGTAAAAATTTTAATTTATTTTGTCCCAAAATGATTAGCAATTTTCTCACAGAATTACTTACTTAAAAATATTTATGATGCCTAATTTATCATATGTTCAAATCTTAAGAATAATAAGGATTGCTGCTGCTGCTAGGTGTAAGGGAGTCAACAAGAATAATTCTATTATCTATTTATTCTTATATTAACATATTTTAGTGTCTGGTAAATTAAGTCTCCTTCAATATCCTTTACAACTCAAAACTTTGCTGTTGGTTGTTTTTCTAAATGGCCTTTTCAAGCACCTACCACCAACAATTCCACTAGATTTTTACTGAGTCATAAATATTAAATCTCTAATTTATAAATAGTATACATTTTTTACAATACTGGTGGTCTTATCAAAGTATTTGTTTTTTTCCACAGTTCTTCATTAAGTGTTATTACTTTCTTCTTATAGGTGAGCTGTGCTTCTCAAGACTATTCCAAATTTTCAGATTCCTGTGACTCTCAAGAATGGCATTTTTCTTTCATTGTATTCTTTAAGTTCTAATTGCTGATACATTGCTTATAATTATATAAAATGATTCAGAATAGCATATTCATAAAGCTACAATCAGAACCTAAAGTTCTATAAGGGATAACTATCAAAATAAAAACTAGCCTTCTTAAATTTAAGTGATCTTCTCATCCTGTGTGAATAGTAAGAGCATAAAACCCATGCAAATCCACTGTCATCAAGTCAAGTCTGACTCACTGTAACCCTGTACAGGGTTTCAGATGCTACCCATTTTTATGGGAACAGAAAGGTCTCCTTTCTCCTGATGGGTTTGAACTGCCAACCTTGCATTTAACAGTTCAGTGCTTATCCTAGAGCACCACCAGGGTTCATTAAATGAATATACAAGACATTCAAAACCTTTACTTTGAATAATAGTTTTCCCAATAGCTATTTTCAATTTGATCTAAAGATTATTATCTAGGATTTCCTATTAATAATAAAATCATTATCTCAGAATATTAGAGCAAATTCCAGATTTAACCTTTACAATGGCTATCAATTTGTTTGCCCTAATAAAAGCTAAGTCTAATTTATTTATAAAACATATTTAAGTATTTTAAGGAATCTTCTCCATATTCAGAAAATTAACACCGATCATGTCTTCCTTTTTCCCCAAACCTTGTTGTTGTTGTTGTTGTTAAGTGCCTTCAAGTCGGTTCCGACCCATAGCGACCCTGTACAAGGTTTCCGAGGGTGTAAATCTTTACAGGAGTAGAAAGCCTCATCTTTCTCCCACGGAGCTGCTGGTAGTTTCGAACTGCTGACCTTCAGGTTCGCAGCCCGATTCGTAACCACTATGCTAAACCTTAGCAGACAAAAATAAAATCTTTCAAATAAAAATGCTAAAAAGCTGTCGTCACAAATGAAAACCGCTTACCGTGATACCACCACTTTGTTTTCTTTGGATTCTTGTTACATGTTCGAACATAAAAAGAATTATCTGGTGGTCGTCTCTGAAACCAAGAAGAGTTTAAATAGATAAATTAAGAAATTATAAAGCAGAAAAAATAAGGGGTGAGGTAGTTTTAATAAAAGTTTTATACAAAATTATTTCAGAATGAATATAAAAACAATATAAAAGCTGGTAACATAACAGAAAGAATAAACCATAATATATTTCAGAAAATGTACAAATTCTTGATACCCAAGTTGTTCAAATACAGGGGCTTATATGTGTGGATGGGTTTCAATGAGATCATCAGGGAATGGTCATCAATGAAAGTGGCATCATCCAAGTTATAAAGAATTTTGTTTTTCATTTATCGTGTTCCTTTCCAGAAATAATTTAATAATTACTTTTATGAACTAAATGGAAACATAAGTACTTACTTAACTAGGTTTGTCTGAAAAAAAGCAAGCTATAAACTTCTACAACTGATTATTATCTTACTTTAATAAAGATGACATCATCAAGAACAGATCAAAGGATCTGTTCAGTTTCCAAGCCATATACAAGAAGGAAGGTAAAATATACACAAAGAAGCTTCAGAAAGTTCTCAGAAAACTGGTGTTTAAAGATAATGGAAATTTCCACAATCATTTGGAGCCCAATAGCACTGGCATTTGAGTCATAACACAAATGAGAAACATTACAGCAGCCCTATCAGATACAATGTCATCAACAGCAGTGAAAACAGATCTTGGAAGTAAATTTTTCTGAAAAATTGATGAGAACACAAAATATATGTGACTCTTTACAAAGATTTGGGAAACAGGCACATTCATGTTAAAGCTATTGAGGACAAGTTTGTAAACAGCATTTAATAGATATCCTTATTCTTTTGCCTCCATTTTTATTTTCAGGAGCATTCTGACTTGATTATCCTTAAACACTTTTTAGCATCTAGTCAAGATGCTTTCCTCTATATGAGATTAAGTAAAAGCAGTGAATTTAGTAAGACATCATTTAGAAGAGCTAAACCAGAAAAGTAAACGTGAGCAAGACTACCAAAGTCTAGGCAAGAAAACAGGCAGTGGCAGTTATAAGTGGCAACTTCCAGCAATCATGTGACAAACTAACGTCTGACTTGAGTCTCATGATGTCCTTGTGAGTTAATATTAATAGTAATTTAAGAACAGGAGACATTTAGAGAACAAGAGAGTAAAACAACTACCCTAAGAGAACATTGTCAATATAATTTGAGAAAGGAGCCCTGGTGACTAAAGTGTTAAGCACTCATATGTTAACCAAAAGGCTGTTGGTTCAAATCCACCAAATGACCATGGGAGAAAAATCTGGTCATCTCCCATAAAATTTACAGCCTTGAAAACCCTCTGGGGGCAATTTTACTCTGTCACCTGGGGTCATTCTGAATGGAAAATCAACTCAATGGTACACCTAGCCATAACAACAATTTGAAAAAATACTGAAAAACAAATACTATGATAAGCTACATACCTATTTCATAGAATAAAAAGATGATCCTCCTTGTTGTTAGTCTTGCAGTCATTATCTGTAGTCAAGTGGAATAAATTGCTACAACTATAGCAAGTAATTTCATAAACTCATTTCATCTATCTATTGATTGATGTTGTTAAGTTCCATTGAGTAGGTTCTGAATCAGTGACACTGTATAAGGTTTCCAAGGAACAGCTGGTAGGTTTGAACTGCTGACCTTGCAGTCAGCAGACCAAATATTTACCCTACAGTGCCACACCCACACTCCATATATTGATTAGAATCCAAGAACCATTGGAAAATAGCCATCAAAAAACCCAAAATATTTAGCAAGGAAAATATGCCCCCATCCCACTGGTTTAAATAAAAATAACCAAACTAATAAATGATCAGGGACATATGGTTCTCAGAAGAATAAAGCTGTTTTAGGCATGGAGTTGTTCTTGTTGTTAAGTGTTGTCAAGTTGATTCCGATTCATAGTGACCCTGTATAGTGTTTCTGAAGAAAGGCGATAAGTTTGAACCACCAACCTTGCAGTTCAAACTGACCTTGCAGTACAGTCCATTATCTTGCAGCAACAGTACAAGCTGGAAAAACTGGACAATGTAAGTATATTATAAGGGCAGTGAGGATAAAGGGTTGACTGCCGAAAAGCTTCTATGTCAACATAGAAATTATGTTTAATCTACTGGCATAATCAATTTAAATGCCTTCATCTTAGAAGAACCAGTCTTTATTATGAAAAAGCAAAAGGAAATGAAAGTTCTGACTTTATTAGTCTTCAAACAGCAGAGTAAAAATTTAAGTTTATTTTCAGAGAGTAAACCAATGAACTGAAACCAACAGAACCAAGTCCACCATACCAAATAAAATTTACCTGTTTTAATAGAACTTTTGGTAGACATTTAAAGGCCTTATTAAAGCTCCATTAGAACTAGATACCTCGATGTCAAAGATAGCCTCCTTTTTCCTTTTTATAACCTAGCACTGAGTATAGGCAACAAAGTGCATAGCTGCAGTTGATAAGAGCTGTTGAGTCGGTTCTAACTCATAACAACCCTGTACAGAGTTTCCATGAAGGGGCGGGAAGGTTTGAACCACCAACCTCATAGTTAGCAGTTCAATGCTTATTCTACAGTGTCACACCAGGATTCCTAGAACACAGCTGTTAAGTGCCACTGAATCAGTTCTGACTCATAGTGATCCTGTAGAGTGTTTCCAAAGAGCTGCTGGTGGGTTTGAACTGCTGACCATTTGGTTATCAGTCCAGAGTGCATCTACAGTGCAACTAATTTTTAACCCTGCCAGAACTTACTTTCAGATTATAATTTTGATTAAACATATTATATAATAATTAATTATCAATAATTTAAATGGAATGAGTAGTCTTATGCTGAGTATAAAAGAACCACTAGTAGGAAACAACTGGAATGTAAGGGGAATGATGAGCATTAGAAAAGGAGAAAAAGGTTTAAGAACATAGTTCTCTTCAGTTTTTAACAGCAAATCACTACATTTAAATGTAGAGAGGAGCCAATTATTATAAGGCAAATGCAAAAGCTAGGTGCAGACTTCACTGGTGTTCACGTCTCTAATAACTTCTCTTATGAAATCTTGTTATTACATTCTCACCTTTCTATTATCATTAAATAGGAAGATAGAAACCCTTGTAAACACAAACAACTCTGCCCTATTGCCTACAAGTTAAAAATTGTGTGTGTTGAGGGGAAGGAGAAGACACTGAAACAGTAAATAAGTACAGGTGTGGTGCTGTGAGTTAATGCGCCAGACTGCAAAGCTGTTTGAACTGCAAGGTCGGCAGTTCAAGCTCACCAGTCACACCTAGAAAACCCTATACAGGATCACTGTGGGTCAGAACCGACTCAACAACAACAACATATCAGTATTTGTCAATATTTTACCAAACATTTTCTTCTTCTTTTTTTAAACCTAACACAAAGAAATCTCTTATAGATTAAAGGTTCTAAGAAACCACTTTAGGAAGCATTGGCTTGTAAGGTTTCAGATTCTAGATAATCTACCATTTAAAAAAATATTCTTAATTTAAAATTTTCTCTAAGTACTAATTTAACATATGAGAGAATCAGTTTAATTTGAAGAACAGATAAAAATCTGCTAATTTTTTTTTGTTTTTCTCTTAAGCAGAATACAAAAAGAAACCCTTAAAGAGAGAAAAGACTTTAAAATGCAGAAATACAAGAATAGTATGCTCCACTAACCCTTAAGCAAAAATAAAACAGGGCAGAATTGCATAAGGAGAATTCAAAAGACTTTAAAACATTTTATTCATGTGATTTCTATATTTCTGATCTTTTCTCTCTTGACCACACACAGAATATGTGGAATAGTAAAGGAAAACAGAAGAATGAGTTCTTAAAATTCTGCTGCTAAACTCCCTCCTCTTCCTTCAATCTGATCATTACCATAGGGAAAGCCTTGGTTCCTGAGAAACCCCTAAAAGCAGTTAACCAAGTGGGAGCCAGCTAAGGCAAGAGAGCTATAATGCTTCTTCCTCTCCACTGGGAAATGTAAAAACAAGAGCTTCTTGTACACTTTTGGTCTGTGCATGCTTACAGAAATAAAATTCAGATTATTAAAGAACATGTGCACCAGTACTCTGTTTAAGAAATATAAATCAAGAAGACTGACTTCTAGTTCATTTAACATTTAAATCTCCTATTTAGAATGAATGGAGTAATGGTGTGGTGCTGTGGGATAAAGCACTAAACTGAAAAGGTGATTTGAACCACAAGGTTGGCAGTTCAAACTCACCAAGCTGCTCCTCGGAAACCCTATACAGGGTCACTATGAGTTGGTACCAACTCAGTGGCACATTAACAACATTTAAAATGAAAGATCACCAAAATGATTTTCAAATTCTTCCTAAATACACCAATCCCTATCATTTCATAATAAAAAGTATAAATTCTTCCTTCAAATAATTATACATTAAAATAGTTTACCTACCTAAACTGAAAGAAGAAATGTTACCTGGAATAATTCTGAAAAGTCCTACCTTTTCTTTGCAGCTGGAAAGCATGCTAATAATGCTAAGACAAACTGATTGGACTGAGAGCGCTGGGGACCAGTCTTCTGTTAGAATGGATAAACAGATATGACCATTGCTATAAACATGAGGATGAACAGGAATATTTTCACCAGTAAACATGACCTAAGAAAGAATAAAATTCCATTAACACTCAAATATTCTAATTACTAAAAACTTAAATATTCTCCACGTATAAATATTGATTTTAAAGAGCAGAAAACAAAACAAAACACAGTGCCAGGAACAAAGTAAACAAACTGCTTGTTTTTCTCTGATAAATCAGTAAGCATTGGTTTTGTTATACGAATAACCAAGCAGAAAAGGGTATTTTTAAAAAATTAAAAGCCTCCAGAATATATTTCATATTTTAGCTATTTTAGACAAACTCCCTTTAAAGTTTCCAAAATTGTTATGTAGTTTCAGACTAGTGAAAGACAACTACATTTACAAGAATGGTTTATCAAATTCTACTCACTGTTCTTGGCACATAGAAATGAAACACAATAAAATTCCAAACAAAAGTCATCAATTTTGAGACAATATGAATTGCAAGTGGTAGGAATACACCTACTTGTAACAATGTTACTATCTACAGCGCTACTAGGCAAAAGGATATGGCAGCTACATAGTCCCCCTCCACTAGACACATACATGTATATCTTAGACAGAAAAACACAGTTATGTCTCCCAGTGACTTACTGTGTTTTTCTTTTTGCTTAATTTTTCAAATACTGGCTTTCTTTTTCTCATCTTCCCTTAGCACGGTTCTGTAAATCAATAAATATTTTCTTTCCTTCCTTTGCGCTAACAATTCAAACATCCCAACAGCAGTGTTTCTTAAACATATTTATATAATCACCAGAAAGTGTAAAATCAGGAATCTATAATGCATAATACAAGGGCAGCTAGAAGTAAGCACAAGTCTTATGTTTAAAAATGTACACATACATGGTACCACCACATAATACTAAACTGTTTACTTTGATATAAGATGTAAATCGACTTAATCCTCCCAACTTTAACTAAGATTTATTTAAATATGAATAAAGATGTTCTATGTTTATTTTGCGAATTAGCTGTAATTCCTAACTCCTGAGCGGCCATAAAAGAAATCACCTGAAAAGGTATAACAGCTGATTTCTTCCCATTAGGACCAAAGAAGAATGAAGAAAATAAAAAACACATTAGAACAATTTGTCCGAAACTAATGATCTATGTGAACCTATAAGTCTCCACAAGCCTGAGACCAGACCGCTTCTGAATGCTCTGAAAGGAATCCAACGAAAGGGTCCTAGATAAGAGTGGGTAAAAATGTAGAACAAAACTCAAAAACATAAAAGTGACCAGGCTTACTGGTCTGATGGAGACTGTTCGTACCCCTGGTACTATGGCCCTTAGTCACCCCTTTTAAGCCTACAACTAAACTCACTCTCATGATTCAACTTTCTGTCAAACAAAAGACAGCTCTATTGGATGAGCAGTTAACACCAGACAGGTACACATTCCTTAATACAAATCAGCTAGTAAAGACCAAAAGGAAGGATTCGCCCAGGAACAAAGCTCAGAAGGCAGGAAGGGATAGCAGTGAAGGACAAACGGAAACAAGAAACACAAGGAAGAAATGAGATGAGTGCTGTTGCACTGTTGTTGTGAAGTGCCGTCGAGTTGGTTCTGACCCATAGCAATCCTGTATGGTGTTTCCAAGGAGCAAATGGTGAGCTTGAACTGTTGATCTTGCAGTTCAAACAGCTTTGCAGTCTGGTGCATTAACCCACAGCACCACACCAGGACTCACTCCCTGTTACACTGTGGGGACTGCAAATAACGTCAGGAATCAAAAAGTGTATGGGTTGTTGAATGGAAAATACATTTTCTCTGTAAACTTTCACCCAAAGCACAACAAAAAGTTGAAAAAAAAAATCCTAGAAAAGCCTATTTGCCACTTCTACAGTCTTAGAGGGGTCCTGGTGTGACGCAGTGGGTTAATGCGCCAGACTTCAAAGCCCTCTGAACTGTAAGGTCGGCGATTCAAGCTCACTAGTCCCTCCTCGGAAATCCTATACAGGGTTCGCTATGGGTTGGAACCAACTTGATGATACTTTAACAACAACAACAACAACTGTCTTAAAGGGCCACTGTACATCACACTGGACTCAATGACATACAACACAAGAAAAACAAAACTAAATTAAAATAACTTTTAAATTAAATTAGTCAAGGTCCTCGGGGGCTTAAAAAAAATCAATTGACGATCCAGTTAATAATAAAATTCAACAACCCACTTTCACAGATTGATTCAGAATATTACCAGACTTAAGAGTAATAATTAGTCTTTCTACCTTATACACTTGTCTCACACCCAATAAATATACCAGAACTTCAGTAAAGAGAAAAATTCTACCCTAAGTTATGACAGAGTTGTTCTAGAAATCTCCACACACACACTCTACCTATAGCAGAAAACAAGTGAAATTAAGGATGGCCAGAGTAAGTTCAGAGTAAGGCTGAAAGCACAGAATATCGCAAAGATGTTTGTTTATCTGTGCTTTATTACTATGCAAAGGCTTTCGATTATGTGGATCATGACAAGCTATGGACAACATTGTGAAGTATGAGTATTCCAGAACACTTAATTGTGTTTATGAGGAATCTGTACATGGGCCAAGAGGCGGTTGTTCGAACAGAATAAGGGAAAACACTGAATGGTTTAAAATAAAGAAAGGTGTGCAACAGGGTTGTATTCTTTCACCATACATAGCATAGTGGTTATGAATCAGGCTGCTAACCTCAAGGTCGGCAGTTCGAAACTACCAGCTGTTCCACGGGAGTCAGATGAGGCATTCTGCCCTAGTAAAGATATGCAGCCGTGGAAACCCTGTACAGGGTCACTATGAGTCGGAACCAACTCCATGGTACTTAACAACAACTATACAACCTGTATGCTGAGCAAATAATCCGAGAAGCTAGGTTATATTGGAGGAAGACTCATTAACAACCTGCAATACGCAGATGATACAACCTTGCTTACTGAAAGAGGACTTAAAATATTTACTGATGAAGATCAAAGACCACAGCCTTCAGTATGGATTGCATCTCAATGTAAAGAAAAAAAATCCTCACCACTGGACCAATAAACAACATTCTTATCAATGGAGAAAAGATTGAAGTTGTCAAGGACTTCATTCTTCTTGGATCAAGTATCAACACTTATGGAATCAGCAGTCAAGAAATCAAACGACATACTGCATTAGGCAAATCTGCTGCATAGACCTTTTAAAAGTGTTGAAGAGAAAAGATGTCAGCTTGAGGACTAAGGTGCGTCTGACCCAAGCCATGGTATTTTCAATAACCTCATATGCATTCAACTGTAGAACTGATGCTTTTTAGTTATGGTGTTGGAGGAGAATGTTGAAAGTGCCATGGGCTGCCAAAAGAACCAACTTATCTGTGTTGGCAGAAGTGCAGCCAGAGTGCTCCTTAGAGGCCAGGATGGCCAAACTTCGTCTCTCATACTTCGGACATATTGTCAGGAGGGGTCAGTCGCTGGAGAAGGATATCATGTTTGGTAAGGTGGAGGGTCAGAGAAAAAGAGGAAGACTCCCAGTGAGATGGATTGGCAAAGTGGCAGCATCAATGGGCTCAAGCCTGGCAACAATTGTGAGTTTAGCCCAGGATTGGACAGTGTTTCATTTTGTTGTACATAGGGTCATGAGTTGGTACCGACTCAATGGCACCTAACAACAACAAGAGTAAGGTATGCCATGATTGAATATAGGAGTTGTTATGGAAAATTATCTTAAGGTAGATTTTAGTTTGAAAAAATCTGGCTATAAAATTTATTACAATTTTACACATAATGACCTTTTAATAGAGCAGTTTTTCATAGAAAAGGTGGATCTTCTAATATTTCTAACATATTACTAAAACAAGGGACTAATTTTCTTGGCTGAAGCTAATATAAGACAGCAAAAGGAAGCTTCTCCCCGGAAGAGGAATGACTTTATACACTTGAATATTCTCCTCTTTCTGAATTCTGGTCATCCACCCTTGACCACACATACATGCAGGTGTACACAGGCACAATAGCGAAAAAATTGAAAAATAAATATATAAAGTCTCAAAATAGGAGATATCAAACTATTAAATTCCCAAACCAAACCCACAGCCATCTTGTCAATTCTGACTCATACAGAGGTTCCAGAATATAAATCTTTACAGGAGCTAGAACAGCCTAATTTTTCTCCCATGAAGACTGGTACGTTTGAACGGCTGACAATACAGTTAGCACAACTCCTAACCCAAAGTGCTATCAGGGCTCCATCAACTACTAGTTCTTCGTAATAGCAGAAGACCACTTGAAAGGTATTTGGCTCTGGCATGGCTGTGCTCCATACATTGCATGTGTTTCTAATCATATAACTGCTACTGTTGTTTTCCATTTGTTTATATAACTGCTACTGTTGATTCATAATGACCCCTATGTGCCAATAGAGCTGTCCCAGTACATTTCCTAGGCTGTAATTTTACAGGAGCAGATCACCACATTTCTTTCTCCTGTGGCATCACTACTGGGTGTGTTCAAACTGCATACTTTTTAGTTAGCATACAAGCGCTTAATCTGTCTTCTTAATTACTTTGTGCTAAGATGATACTTTAAAAGCACATTTCCCTTTGTATTGTAAACACACAAAAAGGAATTATGTATAGCACTTGGAATGAAACTGGCACCAAAGGTGCTGTCATGCAACAAGAAATGACCGCATGAAGGATCTTGCAGTTCTACATTTAGAATCTATGCGTAATTATTTTAATTTCTTTTTAAAATAAGTCTCAACAGCTGCTCCTTGGGAACCCTATACAGGGTTGCTATGAGTCAGAACAGACTCCATGGTACTTAACAACAACAACATCACATCCTATACAAACAATGCATATTCCCCACAATGCACTGAATATGTTTAGAACAAGAGTTTATTAATGTCACAGAATATGGATGTACTTTAGGTATTTATTTTGCCACAAAAAGTCATTTGATATATTAAATTAAGCTGCTTTTAGTAAGAACTCAAGCAATGTCCAAGACTTATTCTGTGGACATGGTTATTTTTTAAAGAATCCCACCC